ATTTTCATTAAAATTTCAAATTTATTTACTCAGAAGTGTTACAATTTTTTTGAGTATGAAGCTTTATAGCCAATTCAATTTTAGTGTGATAATGTACAAGTTTCAAGAGCCTTAAAACCTTTGATTCTTTTTGTCGCATTTGCTACCATATAACGAATAAACACAATTTATTTTTATATGGAAGAAAACCGCAACAACGGTAATTTTTAGCCACTTGAAACTTGCACATTTTTGCAATAAAATTGAAAGGGCTTTAAATCTATATACTCAAAAAATTCTGAGAAAATAATTTTGACATTTGGATGAACATTTTTAGATTTTTTTTAGTTTTCTACAAAGTTTTAAATTTGGGTTTATATGGACTTCTTCAGAGAATGAACTTTATTTTAATGAAAATTCTTAAAAATAAATAAATAAACATCAGTGGAAAACAATATCACTTTGAAATGAGGTGCTCTTGATATAACTACATGTACATTAGGGTGGTCCAAAAACAGTAAAGTCGGAATTGTAATGCTCTCACCCCCTAGTTCTATATAGAAAAAAGTGTACCCCTATTTTTTTTATTTTAAAATCAAAAAATATTTAGAGGTCGCTCAAAGAGCTCAAAGTTTTCCATGTATTTTTGTATGGGGAAAAACAACTTTTCGTAGAAATGGTATAGAATTCCTGAAAATCAATATTTTTCGATCGGAAAACTCTGGTCAGGAGACTTACAATAATAATACCCAATTATTTATTTAACCATTTTTTAATACTAACGATTTTTTATTTGTCCCCCCATTGCATTTTTCGGGATTTGTGTGGGTTTTTGGCGGACCTACAAATTATAGTTGCGATGAAAAAAATGGTTAAATAAACAATTGGGTATTATTACTGGGAATCCTGCAGATGAAAAGAGTTTTCCGATAGAAAAATATTAGTTTTTTTTGAATTCTATACCATTTCTACCAAAAGTTTTTTTCCCCATATAAAATACATGGAAAACTTTGGGCGCTTTGAGCGACCTCTAAATATTTTTTGATTTCAAAATAAAAAATAGCGGTATATTTTTTTTTGGTACAGAACAATCCTAGGGGGTGAGAGCATAAAAATTCCGACTTTACTTTTTCACATGCATTTTTGGACCACCCTAATGTGCATATATGTTTCTCGTATTTATAAATAGATTCCCTGAGGATCACGCGAATATGCGTCAAAACAAGTAGTAGGAAAATAAACGTTTATTCTATTTGTAATAAAATACCGAAAAGCTCCATACACAACATTAAACTCTCAGCTTAGTCGAGGAGAAATAATTATAACATACATGTATGTTTGGTTTCTGTACGGCTGCTAGTACCACTTTATATGAATTCGCTACTCGGTTACTCTTTATGAATTTGTACAACGATTTTGGGTTGCTGTGCCCAAACGCGTGAATCGAATCAAAAAACTTTTACACACACTTGTAGACAACAGTTCACGCTTTATTACAAAAATTTAATTTAATAAATCTGTGCACTAATTTGACAATAATGTCGGTTTGAAATATGGTATTTGTTGCAAATTTTTGTTATAAATTTGTATATACATTTTTATATACAAGATATTTTTATAAAACACCCAGTAACCAAAATAGACATCACTGGGGCGCCAGCCCCAGGTTTACCACACAGAAAGCGAATTCTAGTTACCTCATCCTTTCCCAAGGTTACATCACTGGGGCGGTAGCCCCAGTTATGTCACACAGAAAGGAGAATTCTACGTAGTAAGGGTTATAATCCCTAAGCTCGGCCGAAGGCCGCCTACGCAGAAAGGTGTTCTCTGCAAAAGGTGTTGAGCCCCCCTTCTTCGGACGCAAGTTTAACTTTGTTTTTTCCTTGCAAAAAATCTCAAATTCCCCTATTTTCAAGCAGCTCCCAAGGGGTTTTTGGGGAGGGGAGGGTGGTGAGGGGTGACTTTTCATAAAGCGGCGTTCATCCTCCTTCGTTTAGGGGGGTTTGGGGAGCCACGCCCCTCCCCCTCCGCCCCCCACCCCTAAATCGTTGTACAAATAGCTAAAGATTTCCCCGCTACTCTTCTACGCGAGAATCTGAAATGTGCTACTCTTCCACGTAAAAATCTGAAATGTGCTAGTCTTCCACGCAAATAGTGAAATGTGCTACTCTTCCACGCAAAAATCTGAAATGTGCTACTCTTCCACGCGAATAGTGAAATGTGCTAGTCTTCCGCGCTAAAATCTGAAATGTGCTACTTTTCGAGGCGAATAATGAAATGTGCTAGTCTTCGACGCGAATAATGAAATGTGCTAGTCTTCGACGCGAATAGTGAAACGTGCTAGTCTTCCACGGTAATTTAAAATGTGCTACTCTTCGTTGGGAGCGACGATATAACATTAATACAGTTGTTTTATTGCACTGCTGGCAATTGTACTTAAACCTAACTATATAAAATTATACGCCAAATTAAAGGTATTTTTTTGGTCTTTCCAATAAACATATTTGTTAATATAGTTAATTACGTATTTTTTTACGAAAAACATACATTTTTATAAAAAAATTGCTATAATTTCGTTTTTTTACTTTTTCTCAAAATATGTTTGCTATATGTACATACATATATATATATTACCTTTCCAATCGTGTCCATATTTTGAAAATCGGTTCAATAGTTTTCAAAATATAAGCTTTTGAAAATGTTGGAAATTCCACGTTTAGCCCCCCCTAGCGCCGCCCCTGTCAATTTGCCCCAAAGAAAAGTTTACCATTAAACTCAGCAGAAAGGGGTGCACCACGTCCACGTTTTCTTTTTTCTCTAGCTCAAGGGTCGGTATTCTTTAGGTATGCCAAAAATGGTAAAGCGTGTGGACGGAGAAGGGGCCGCCCACATAGTAAATCTTAAAACCGCACGGTCAGGAGGTTTATAGTTATTAAGTAATTCGTTGTTAAAGTGACGGGGTTGGACCCATGAGGCTTAAATGGTGTTCGCACGAGGCGATTTTGCGCTCACCTTTTGCTTTCAACTCGCGCAGGGTTGCACGAAAAAAAAGTTGAGTGGCTAAATGTTGGCTGGCGACCAAAAGCGATTAGCTGAAAGGCCGTTCAACCAAAAGTAGAATGTAAAGTTGAACAATGCAAACGCCTTTTTATGGCGAATATTTTGATATTTTTTTTATCACCCCTATGCTGTGATCCGAATGTTCGTAGCTACGAATTCGTAGCTCCGTTCCGAAAATTCGAAAATTGGTATGCTGTAATCCGATCGTAACTATCAGCGGCACTGCCAGCTAAAAACGTGAAATTCGAAGTTCTTAATCAGCTGCTTTGACAGAAACAAATCAAACTAAATATAATCGCAAGTGAATAGTGAAATTAAAAAAAAAAATTAGCTTAATCATTATTTGAAAAGACTTTTCCTTAATTAAGTAGAATACAAAGGATTCAGTGGCCGGTGTCCCAGGAGGAACAGCTAACAGTTGCATTAATATACAAATGAGATTGCTCGGAGATTGTTCTGATCCATTTAGCTTAAATGATAAAATGTAAGCTCCCTCCTTTTAAGGGCCTCCATTTCACTAGATATTGTGCCGCTTTAATTCTTGGAACGCTTTCCCAAAATTCACCACATCCTCTTTAGCTCCTTTTACAAAGCCTCTCGCTCATGCATTCCACCAGTTTTGCGTATTGCTAGCGATTTGTTGTGAACTTCGATC